GTTTAAGGTAAGGCAAACAAGTTTACGCCTTTTTGTTTTTGAACTGTCAAAAATCTTTCATCGTTTTATTTTTATATTTATTTTATTTTATTTGTTTTTTGGTCTGCCCGGCCATGAAACTCATCGGTTGCAGCTCTGAGTTTGTTTCGCCCATTGTTTCCGTGTTGTACGAAATTCCGTTCCCCTGTGGAAATCTGTTCCCCCTGTGTTGGGAGCACCTCTCAATTTATTTAGGATTGGTCTGATGTTAATGCTGGACGTGATTCTTGGTTATGTAGTACTCGAACCGAACCAACTATAGGAAACTTGCATCTTTTTGGACTTCACGGGCCACCGTTGCTGAGCTAAAACAGAAATCGTCTGACTCGTCGTCTCCCGCTTAGCAACTCTGCCAGCTGGTTCATTAGCATTTTTTCCTGACAGATACAGGACTGAACTATTCAGATATTTGATAATTCAATCGACATGCTCTCAACAGCAGGACCTTTATCAGAACTGCAGCCAGCTGTCAGTTCGCATGTCTGATTTAAGCAGCAGGTCGACCTGGCTAAAAATTATGTGTTTCATCAGGAGAACAGCTGGTTAACACTATCAAAATCAGTCATTTTAATTAATTAGTTGTGTATTTTCTCCTAGATGAAATAAATCATTTTTTTTTTATGAGAAGCATATTTTTTTTACCATCAGCTTCCTGGTTTTCTTTATTGTTGACTCAGAGCTCATTGGAGACTTTTGAGTCAAAATGTGTTAATAGTAGCTTTTGTTATTTTATGGGCAATATGCAGCATTTTGAATTTATTCACTTATTTTATTCAGCTTATAACTGTACATCCTGTAGGGGTACACCAAAAAATAGTTTTACATCAGAATAGTGATTCTAATTTACAAAGATTCAGAATCTATTTAAAATGTCACAAAATCGATTTTTATTTAAAAAAATGAAGCAAATCCAATGGTGTCAGCAGTCATCACTCAGCTGCTTTTGGAACATATGAATGTGCAGAAAGCACCAAAATAAGAGAAAACTACAAAACTGAAGGACAGAGAGATTCAACTGACCCTGTCTTCATTGAATGCAAGGATTTGGGCTTATTTTGTTTTTTACTGAATGAGTCTGAGTTTGATACGAGCAAGYTGTGCAAGGTTTGCAAAATGAAGATGAAGCAGTCTGTGAACATGACAAATGGGCTCACATTATCAGCTTTAAATGAAAAATCTATTTTGAATCGAACCGTGGCCCTYAAAATCAGAATCAAATRGAATCGTGAGAGAGTAAAAGATTCCCACCCCCAACACCCTGTAATAATCTAAAGACCATGCAAACATGTTCTGTCTTTAGACTGCTTTTCCCAGTTTATTTTCAAACCAACTTGCTTCCATATGGCTTCCCAGTTTTATTTTGAGAGGTTTATTCATTTGTAATAATACAAGGGCAAACAGATGAAAATTGTTAAATATACATTTGACTAACAAATAAGACAATAGAAAAACTGTAAATTTAACCTTCAAACCCCACCCCACCCCACAAAAACATGTGCAATAGGTTGCCTTCAGGACCAGGCCTCCCTTGAAAAAGATATCTGTGATCTCAATGGGGACATGCCTGGTTAAAGAACGGTGAATAAATAAAATAAATAATAAATAAAACTAAAAAATAAACAGCAGAGAAGGGGGCAATCACCACATTGTCATGTGCTGCAGTGGTGGCTATGTTATCGCAGGTGCTAACACAGGCTATGAAGTGATTTGAAATAGTTTTTTTTCTTTTTTGTATTTACAATTAAAACTGTTTTAATTCGATACTTTTACATATTCAGGTTCTTAAAACCTTATTAACCATACAATAAGATGTTATATGTAATTTATTTTATTCATTACTAATGGCTAACATACTATTTAAATGCATTTCCAACAGAAAATCTGAACTTTATTTTACCATTACTGATGACAATTTGGATGCTTTGGTGATGGAGATCCAGCATGCTCATCCAAATGCTGGCTATACAATCATGATGGGGCATGTGATACTATTTAAATGCATTTCCAACAGAAAATCTGACCTTTATTTTACCGTTACTGATGACAATTTGGATGCTTTGGTGATGGAGATCCAGCATGCTCATCCAAATGCTGGCTATACAATCATGATGGGGCATGTGCGATCCAGGGGCATATGCATTCAAAGTAAGAGCTGATGTTGTAACATTAACCTCTACTTGGAAACAAAGTTCATTAACCATCCTATCGTCCTCAAATATAATAACAAATTTGGTCCTTGGGGTCAATCTGACCTAAGGGATATTTACCTAGTGAAAATGATTATGGAATATTGTTGACCACGTTTCTGTGACAGGCACTTTGTTTATTTGTTGAATACATAAATAATCCCRTGAAAATCAGTGGGTTGACCTGTACTCTAGCGCCACCATCAGGCCCAACCTTTACATTAGAATTAATTTGTCTTGAAATTTTCATAAAAATCTTCTCAAATTTACTTCTCAACATTAATGACCACAAGTCTTGTTTTGGTGATGATGGATGGGACCTTTACTAAAGCACCACCATCAGAAAAACCTTCAGGTTGAGAGCACATTCATGACTCTCACAGAATGACCATGTCAGCTACATCCAAGTCTTTCCAACTGTCCCCATATACACACTTCCCCTCTYAATTTGTTAGCCCAAGCACAATATTTTTATACAACTCCTGGCAAAAAGTATGGAATCACCAGTCTTGGATGAGCACTCAGACATTTCATTCTGAAAAACAAACTCAGATCAAAAACATGATACAATAATAAGGTCATTCCAAAGGTAAACTTGATGGCTTTCAGGAACACTCAAAGAAATGAAGAGAAAACATTGTGGAAGTCAGTGAATCTTATTGAACAAGCACAGGGAAAATGATATGGAATCACTTAATTCTGAGGAAAAATATGGAATCACTCAATTCTGAGGAAAAAAGTATGGAATCATGTAAAACAGATAAACGGAAGACCATTCAAAATACATCTCTAGTATTTAGTTGAACCACCTTTGGCTTTTATGACGGCTTGCAGTCTCTGAGGCATAGACTGATTGTAGAGGTTGTGGTTGTTTTTGCTCTGCTAATTGATTGTTTGCAGATTGGCATGTGGGTGGAGACTGGGATGGACTCACCTGCACAGCATTCTGATGAGACTCTGACACCATTTAAGCTGCTGGCTGAGATCCATCTGATGCTGGAATATTCAGTCACCTTCGGTACTGTGTATGACAGCCCAGTGTTACCTCTCTGTGAAAACCTTAAGATTAACCTTTGTGTTTTGTGTACTTACCTGTGTTCATGTTCAAACCCTGTGAAGTCCTCTGGAGAGTTCTCCCTAGTTCCTCCCTCGTCGAAGCTCTGAGCTTCTTCTGGATCTAGTTCTCTGTGGATCCTCCTCACCGTCTCCGCCCTGCCTCTCTCCTACACCACCACCTACAAAGAACAACCCAAACCTCACATACTCCCTAACCTGGAAATCCCCTTCGGCCTTCCCCTCCATGCCAGCCTCATCTCAAAG